GCATTCAGGACCCTGAACGTAGGATAATTCAGAACATAAGCACCACGCATGTAAAGCTCATCGTGCAGTTAGCAGCTCCAGTCGTTAACCCCTCATTGAAAAATCACGTGAAAACGATAAAGAAGGTCCTGAAGCTTGCGAGAATACTTATGCCAGAGATTAGTGGAATTTGAAACTGAGAGGCGAATCTGCCAACTCTGTAGGAAAGGAGAGAATAGGTGAATATAATCGTGACGTATAAAATCCTAGGAAGAATCGACAGGGCAGGCAAGAACAAGGTCTTACTGTTGGCAGCTGAAGACGTAGACGAGCCAGAGGGTTGTTATAAAGTGCTACTCTTTTTACCCTGAGAGTAATCAAAACACAGAATAAGCTGGACGAGGTTGAAGAACCTCCATCCATTCACGTTTTCAAGAGCAGATATAACAACTCAAAAAGATATACATGTTCTGTCTCATATATGACTTTTATATTCTATACTCGTTACATCTAGGAGCAATTATATTTCTTATTCTCCATGAAGCTCTTCGAGAAACAACGACATATAGGAGACAGGCATGTTGTACAGACCCCGCTAACCTGTACAGAGCGGCTTCTTGGTCCCTCTGTGAGTCATCGTCACTGTCTTTGAGATTCCGTGTTGTACATGTATTCTGCAGCCTCACGACACTACCTGCCTCTACATGCACCTTCCTCCTCCCAGCAAGAGCAATATCAGCCACTACACATGCTAGCGCAAGAACTCCATCTAACAAGCTCTATTACAGCATGGTGCTAGCGGCAAGCCAGAACTACATTCATTTTTCCTTCACGTGAATTTTCAGCCACCAAAGGACGGAGCTGATATTGCCAATGGGGTGTCAAAGATTGGGATTGAAATGTAAAGACTTCACGGCAGTATGTTTACTCACGGGATGACTGGTACTGCCCAATAAATTTTTCCATCGGGACGAAATCTTAAAATCTTCCTTCAGCTCTACATCTCTGGTGTAGAGATGTGAGGGTAAGAAGTATGATGAATATACCTTAACCTAACCAACTAGTGAGAGCCAAAGGCGGCACTGCAGAAATAATTGTTAGTCCAAGCTACTCTACATCTGCTTGAAATATCATGAATATTTTCCAGATCACTTGACGTTCGTCTCTTGTCTTGGTGCTTAATCCCCTGATATCGAACCACTTCAGGTGAAGGACTCCTAATCCAGAGAATTAGAGCTCCCCTCCTCTATCATAGACCATACCTAATTTACTTGGCATTACCCAGACGTTACATGACCCTTACAGATTCAACGTATACCCCTGATGATACTAAATAACCCAAACACAATCAATAGAGGATGATGGGTCATCTCTACGTGGTGTGGGACAGTCTGTGGACAGTCTGTGGACAGCCTGTGCTCAGTCTGTGGGCAGTCTGTGCTAAGTCTGTGGACAGTTTGTGGACAGTCAGTGGACAGTGTGGACAGCCTGTGCTCAGTCTGTGGGCAGTCTGTGCTAAGTCTGTGGACAGTTTGTGGACAGTCAGTGGACAGTCTGTGGACAGCCTGTGCTCAGTCTGTGGGCAGTTGTGCTAAGTCTGTGGACAGTTTGTGGACAGTCAGTGGACAGTCTGTGGACAAGCCTGTGCTCAGTCTGTGGGCAGTCTGTGCTAAGTCTGTGGACAGTTTGTGGACAGTCAGTGGACAGTCTGTGGACAGCCTGTGCTCAGTCTGTGGGCAGTCTGTGCTAAGTCTGTGGACAGTTTGTGGACAGTCAGTGGACAGTCTGTGGACAGCCTGTGCTCAGTCTGTGGGCAGTCTGTGCTAAGTCTGTGGACAGTTTGTGACAGTCAGTGGGACAGTCTGTGGACAGCCTGTGCTCAGTCTGTGGGCAGTCTGTGCTAAGTCTGTGGACAGTTTGTGGACAGTCAGTGGACAGTCTGTGGACAGCCTGTGCTCAGTCTGTGGGCAGTCTGTGCTAAGTCTGTGGACAGCCTGTGCTCAATCTGGACAGCCTGTGCTCAGTCTGTGGACAGCCTGTGCTCAGTCTGTGGACAGCCTGTGCTCAGTCTGTGGACAGCCTGTGCTCAATCTGGACAGCCTGTGCTCAGTCTGTGGACAGCCTGTGCTCAGTCTGTGGACAGCCTGTGCTCAGTCTGTGGACAGCCTGTGCTCAGTCTGTGGACAGCCTGTGCTCAGTCTGTGGACAGTCTGTTCTCAGCCTATGGACAGTGTGGACAGTCTGTGGACAGCCTGTGCTCAGTCTGTGCATTTGTGGACAGTCAGTGGAGAGTCTATGCTCAGTCTGTGGACAGCCTGTGCTCAGTCTGTGGACAGCCTGTGATCAGTCTGCGGACAGTCTGTTCTCAGCCTATGGACAGTGTGGACAGTCTGTGGACAGTTTGTGGACAGTCAGCGGAGAGTCTATGCTCAGTCTGTGGACAGCCTGTGCTCAGTCTGTGGACAGCCTGTGATCAGTCTGCGGACACCCTGTGGACAGCCTGTACTCAGTCTGTGGACAGCCTCTGGACAACCTGTCTTCAGTCTGTGGACAGCCTGTGGACAGCCTGTGGACAATGTGGACAGCCTGTGCTCAGCCTGTGGACAATGTGGACAGCCTGTGCTCAGCCTGTGGACAGTCTGTGGACAGCCTGTGCTCAGTCTGTGGACAGTCTGTGGACAGCCTGTGCTCAGTCTGTGGACATTCTGTGGACAGCCTGTGCTCAGCCTGTGGACAGCCTGTGCTCAGTCTGTGGACAGCCTGTGCTCAGTCTGTGGACAGCCTGTGGACAGCCTGTGGACAGCCTGTGGACAGCCTGTGCTCAGTCTGTGGACAGCCTGTGCTCAGTTTGTGGACAATGTGGACAGCCTGTGCTCAGTCTGTGGACAGTCTGTGGACAACCTGTGGACAATGTGGACAGTCTGTGAGCAGCCTGTGCTCAGTCTGTGGACAGCCTATTCTCAGTCTGTGGGCAGTCTGTGGACAGCCTGTGGACAGTCTGTGGACAGCCTATGCTCAGTCTGTGGACAGCCTATGCTCAGTCAGTGAACAGTCTGTGGATAGCCTGTGCTCAGCCTGTGGACAGTCTGGGGACAGCCTGTACTCAGTTTATGAACAGTCTGTGGACAGCCTGTGCTCAGCCTGTGGACAGTCTGTGGACAGTGTGCTCAGCCTGTGGACAGTCTGTGGACAGTGTGCTCAGCCAGTGGACAGTCTGTGGACAGTCTGTGGGCAGCTTGTGCTCAGTCTGTGGATAGTCTGTGAACATCCTGTGGACAGCCTGTGGACAGCCTGTGCTCAGCTTGTGGACAGTCTGTGGACAGCCTGTGGACAGTCTGTGAACAGTCTGTGCTCAATGTGTGGACAGCCTGTGGACAGTCTGTGAACAGTCTGTGGACAGCCTGTACTCAGTCTGTGGACAGCCTGTGGACAGTCTGTGGACAGTCTGTGAACAGTCTGTGGACAGTCTGTGTTCAGCCAGTGGACAGTCTGTGAACAGTCTGTTGACAGTCTGTGGACAGCCTGTGTTCAGCCAGTGGACAGTCTGTGGACAGCCTGTGTTCAGCCAGTGGACAGTCTGCGGACAGCCTGTGTTCAGCCAGTGGACAGCCTGTGGACAGCCTGTGTTCAGCCAGTGGACAGTCTGTGAACAGTCTGTTGACAGTCTGTGGACAGCCTGTGTTCAGCCAGTGGACAGTCTGTGAACAGTCTGTTGACAGTCTGTGGACAGCCTGTGTTCAGCCAGTGGACAGTCTGTGGACAGCCTGTGTTCAGCCAGTGGACAGTCTGTGAACAGTCTGTTGACAGTCTGTGGACAGCCTGTGTTCAGCCAGTGGACAGTCTGTGGACAGCCTGTGTTCAGCCAGTGGACAGTCTGTGAACAGTCTGTTGACAGTCTGTGGACAGCCTGTGTTCAGCCAGTGGACAGTCTGTGGACAGCCTGTGTTCAGCCAGTGGACAGTCTGTGAACAGTCTGTTGACAGTCTGTGGACAGCCTGTGTTCAGCCAGTGGACAGTCTGTGGACAGCCTGTGTTCAGCCAGTGGACAGTCTGCGGACAGCCTGTGTTCAGCCAGTGGACAGCCTGTGGACAGCCTGTGTTCAGCCAGTGGACAGTCTGGACAGCCTGTGTTCAGCCTGTGGACAGCCTGTGTTCAGCCTGTGGACAGTCTGTGGACAGTGTGTTCAGCCAGTGGACAGTCTGTGGACAGCCTGTGTTCAGCCAGTGGACAGCCTGTGGACAGCCTGTGTTCAGCCAGTGGACAGCCTGTGGACAGCCTGTGGACAGCCTGTGTTCAGCCACTGGACAGTCTGTGGACAGCCTGTGGACAGCCCGTGTTCAGCCAGTGGACAGTCTGTAGACAGCCCGTGTTCAGCCAGTGGACAGTCTGTTGACAGCCTGTGTTCAGCCAGTGGACAGCCTGTGGACAGCCTGTGTTCAGCCAGTGTCTCAGTAGTAGTAACCAGTTACCAGTAACCAGTTACCAGTAACCTGTCCGTTGACTCAACGACCAACCGTCTTGAGTCACGGTCTGTGCTGAGCTGACACTATTTTCAAAAGACCCACTACGGGGTACTGGCCAGCCGGCTAGTCAGTTTTACGAGTGTAACCAAGGAGACAGGTAACGGCTGCGGGTTCTCTCCACATATCTACGATTATACGTAATAACAGCCTACGTGAGTATTTCTACCCTAATCCACGTATCGAACTCCCACATGATAAATGGTGTACAGCGGTGTGGAGCGTGGATTTACGTTTTTAAGGGTAATTCAAGGCGTTAGAAGGCTGTTTGTGTGAGTAGCGCCAGGGTCAAAGGTGAATCGTCACCCACCAGCCACTACCCGCCCGCACCACCTCGAGCCACCAGCTCTACCCTCGCGCACCACCAGCCAGCAGTCGCCTACTCCCCTCAAACCTATTGCCTGCAAGCCTGTTGCAGCCGTTTCAAGCTTCCTGGCTTAGTTCGTGTGCTAATTGCTTCAATCTCCGAGGGGTTGACCCGGATTTTGCAATTAAGCCAG